CTTCTTCTTGTAGCACTACAGAATGGGGTGGGTCTTGGATGACTGCACAACTTGCTTCCATCTTGAATACTCGTCCATAATAGTTAGGTCAGTGGGTAGCCCCATTTTTTGTAGATCTGACCATATATTGTCTCTCCATCGCATTCATGGACATCCTAAGGGTCTTCTTTCTATGGGGACTTTCTCCCATATAAATTGGCAAGGTGTTATTAGGAACTCTATAGACATGGCCAGCCCATCTTAGACATTGGGATTTATTCTCTTGGACTATTTCGCTCGCTCTATACATTTGCTTGACCTAAGGATTGGTTCTCATTCTTTATTGGTTGCTATTAATGTCGTTATAAGATCCAAAGATCCTTCTGAGAATTTTTCTCTCAAAACGACTTCTTTCAGTTTCTTTCAGTTTCTGTTTTGTTTTTTTTTCTGACTGAAAAAAGTTTTCTTTCAGTTTCTTTGACCGGCTCCACGTCTCACACCCATACATGAGCACCGGTCTAATCACCGTTTTATATATTTTTATCTTTGATGTTCGTGTTAGGCTTTTATATTTAATAGTATTGTAGAGGCTGTATATACATCTGCTTGCTGCCTGTATTCTCCCTTTAATCTCTTCCGCGACATCGTTATCTGCAGTAATTGTTGCTCTGAGATATGTATAACTTTCCACTCTTTTTGCCCTATTCTATCTCGTCCCTTTTATCTGTTATTGCACATGTATTTTGTTCTCTCTTCGTTTACCCTTCAACCAGTCTTGTTTGCCTCTACCTCCAATTTGTTAAAAGTCTCCTTCACATTGGTGACTGTGTTTCCCAAAATGTCAATGTCATCTGCGTATGCAAGTAGTAATTTTGGTCCATTTACTGTCAGATATGTCTATGTTAAGTTGTGCTGCTCCTACTACTTTCTCCACGATGAATTTAAAAAGGGTAGGTGACAGCGCATCTCCTTGTTTCAGGCCATTGCTTATTTCGAAAGACTCTGAGAGTTTATTTCCTATCCGTAATCTGGATCTGCAGCTATTCACACATAACTTAATAAGCTGAATAAGTTTTTTTGGAACGAAAAGTTCTTTCATTTCATTTTACATCTGATCCCTTTTAATGCTGTCGTACAAATCTATGCCGGTACGAATTGCCGGAAATATATGAAGAGATTATGGATAGTTTTATTGAATTTCCATCCTGTTTTAAGCAGCTGTCTTAAAGTGAAGATCTGATCTATGGTAGATCTATGTTTTCTGAAGCCGGCTTGGTACTCATCCATGAAATTTTCCGTTCTCTAATTTGTTAATTACTTGCAATGGTAGGTCCACCCAAAATATATATTTTCTTCATGTTCTTTCTCTTGGTTTATGTTAAGTAAAATCTTGAAATATTCTTGCCATGTTTGGAGCAGTTTTTTATTTATTTATAATTCATAATTTTTTCTGAGTACAGACATGCATCTAGGTCTAAAGCCTTTCTTTTCGTTTGACACTGATTTGTAAAATGCTCGACTATTTGACTGTTGCCTATACTCTTCCATTTCTTTATATTTCCGTTGTTCGTACTTTCTTTTTTTCTCTCTAATAAATTTTTTTGTTTCTTGGCGTGAAGTTGCATAGTTGTCTTTACTTTCTGCTGTTTCTTGTTGAAGCATAATGTTTTACTTTATCTGTTTGTAGTTTTTCTTGACATTCTCTATCAAATCATTTCCTTGTTCTTTTTTTGCTTTTTCCCATTATTAGTTTTGCTGAATCGTAATTGATTTTTCCATTTGTTGCCTCAGCCTTTCGACATCATTGCTCTAGTCTACTGTATTTAGAGGCTGTTTAATTTCTTGTTTGTAATTTTCTTGGATGTTATCATATTGCATTTTCTCGATGCTCCACTGTCTCAATGCTTCGTGGGCCTTAGGATTCTCTGAAGATATTCTTAGCCTGATTTTTGCTCTTAATAGATGATGGTCTGCATCTCCATCTACTTCCCTAAGGCTTCTTACATCCAGCACATTACTTCCATGTCCATCATCGATAATTACGCGGTCAATTTGGTTCCGCGCGGAGAGACCTATTGTCGGTCTTAGGTTAGGTTCTTGGCCAATTTTTGCGTTGAAGTCTCCACAGATTATCTGCATGTCTTGTTTGGGATATGAATAAAAACTATCAGCTACCTTCCAGTTTAGCATACATACACCTATTTAATTTTGTTCTCCGTAGGTTTTTTTAAGTTTTGCAGCAGCTACTGTCTCTGATACGCTGACGATCTTTTCTAACGATTCCAATAAAATGCATGTTGCATTTATGATATTGTGAGACAATTCAAAGCTGATATACCAGTTGTCAGTGATTACTGTCCTTTCCTTCTTTACAATGTCAGCTACTTCGCCCAATGGGGTTGTTTTTGTTTCTTTTATTATGATTTTTTGGTTTGTTTGGAAGGACTATTATTGTGGCAAAAGAATTTTAAAAGGATTAAAACTCATGCTCATTCTGAGAAATTGCAAATTGAACAAATCGTCGTACTTTAGTAATTAATTAGTTGTGGTTATTGTACCAGACCCATATATAAAATGGTAAGTAAAAGTGACCTTATTCCATTATGAGTAATCGGCACATACTCGTGAAGCCGTAATAACGGTTTAACATCATCAGTAGAAGTGAAAATCTGAGTTGCGTAAAGATTGGTATATTCCACAATAAGAGATATTATTTTATTATTGATCATAGCTTTAGAAAACTCACCAGCCGTTGCATTACATAACGAAGCAACTTCTGGCTTTATTCCTGAAGTATTAGTAAATTCCATAAAACTTGGCAACGCTGCTTTTAAAATCTAAACCCGCATATCGACATTTATGTTATTTATCTTTTCTTGAAAATTATTTTCAATATTTATTTTATTGTTCTCTATATTCTGTGAATAAGTCACAATTAAAGATAAAAATACGTTTATTGACAATTTCCACTTCGGAAATCGTCCTTAAAATACAAACACTAAATTAAACAAATTTTGTTTTTTGTTACATATTGAAAAATTCTTTTAATAATTTAATTTTATCTGACTCATTTATATTGACAATTCAGACATACATTATGCATTTTAAAGTAGACGACTTTAAAATGATATTGCCAATATTGTTGAGTTGCGCTTCTGGGACGACTTTACTTGTAAGATAGTTCATTCGATTACATGAAATCAACTTTAACTTGAGAATATCCGTCAGAAAAAATCATACAAGTTTTCAGTTTTCCTAGCATTTGTAGACTACGAAAAAGCTTTCGATACGATAGAACACACGGCCGTAATAAACGCAATGCAAAATTGTAGAATAGACAGCAGATATATTAACTTAATAAAAGAAACTATGAACCAAGCTACAGCTACATACTACCTAAATAAAAATGAACACACGAACCCTGTACCATTAAACAGGGGAGTCAAACAGGGAGATACTTTATCACCCAATCTGTTCACCTTAGTTTTGGAGGACGTTTTTAAAAACCTAAATTGGAAATATAAGGAAATAAACATCAATGGCCGCTACCACAGTAATCTACGATTTGCAGATGACATATGATAGGTCAGTAGCCTGATAGCTACTGACCTACAAGAAATGCAAACCATGCTTTTAGAACTACATACCAAATCTTCTAAAATAGGACTGAAAATGAATTTAAACAAAACAAAAGTCATGCACTCCGAAGACACCGTGACAATAATAAACGATAAAGTTATAGAAAAAGTTGAAGAATATATATACTTACGACAAAACATAATCCTAAATAGGGTAATTCAAACTGAAGAAATAAAAAGAAGAAGAAAGTTAGCTTGGGCATCATTCAGTAAACTGAACTATATACTCAGAAATCAACAAATTCAATTACATCTTAGATCTAGAGTTTTTGATGCATGCATTATTCCGATATTAATCCGACAATCACAAAAAAGAATATGAATATACTTAGAGTCACTCAACACGTGATGGAAAGAGCAATGCTAGGTATATCACTTAAGGACAACAAAACAAACACATGGATAAGACAGAAAACCAAAGTCATCGATGTGGTGCAAAAATCATTAAAGTTGAAATGGGAATACGCTGGACATGTAGATAGGAGCGATCTAAACAAATGGCACAGATCAATTTTAACCTGGAGACATTACCAACACAAAAGACCCAGAGGCAGACCTCCTATGAGATGGACAGATGATCTGAAAAGGACTGCCGGGAAAAATTGGCTACAAGTAGCGTACAATAAAAAACAATAAAACAATGGAAAGGAAGACTTGAAGAGGCTTATGTTCAGATGTGGACGTGAATGGCTAGACGAAGAAAAAGAAGAAGAAGGTTTTCTTCACACATTGTATGTCCAAGGAAGTAAATCAGCGGATCCCAACGAAAAATAAATAAATGTATTGCTAAATGATTTAAAATTTGTTAAACTTAAGATGAAAAATTTGTTGTAAAACCTATAGCATGACACCGAAGCATATACGGCGTCCCAAGAAATCACAAAGAAAATGTACCCGTCAGATCAATTTCAACAGTATGGATTCTCCTTGCAGCAAACTCTTAATTTTTTTGCTGTGCATAATACACTTATTAAAATTTCACAATAATTTTTGCAAAAAGTAGCATAAATAGAATAAATATTCAACAATATGCTAGCTCGTTTTGATATTACTTTTATTTTTAATACCTACCAAATATGGAAGGAAGAGACCAGTTGCTAAAAGCTCGAACACTCTTCTGAAGGCAACATTAAGCGGCCAGACTTGACGACTGTGATTGTGCATTATAGCAAAAGGAGCTAATAAATTTAACATCCAAGGTGTCAATTGCTCAAAAGCTTCATTTCCATTTCTTACATCTCCCAATAAACAAATCAAAACTTTAATTGATGAATGATAAGCATTCATCAACAGAAGGATTGCTGTTTGATGACTTATCATGATTTTCGATCTAAATGATTCTCTGGAGCAAATTGTATGGTATTATGATGTATGTAATAAGGGTTATGTAGTAATCGTTACCCTTACACATGCAAATGCATAACTAATTTCTATACCCCTTTCGTAAGAGGCATCTGCCAGTTGTTCTCCCTTTTGTACTATTTTATTTTTTATTAAATTTCTCAGATCATCACGAACTTTTTTACCAAGGGGTTCTACAACTTCACAGGAAGTAAGAGTTTTTAGAAAGACAACAATATCTACAATGTTTTGCTCTGTAATCATAGTTCCCTTTTTAAATGAACCTTCTGGTCAGAGTTCATCAAGTTGAAATGCATCGAATTTTCCTGGTGCAACTACCAAATTATTCCAAATATCTAAATTATCAATTTTAGTAACCAAGTTTAAAAGAGCTGTTTTTTCTCCAGCTGTAGGTGGCGGATCACCGTTTCTTTTTAATAAAGCTTGAGTAAAAGCTTTGTCGTCTGAAGCTGATTTGATACGAGGAAATGAATTTTCCCAAAGTGCCAGTTTACATGAATGCCTCAGCAGGAACATTTTAATTTTGAATGGAAGGTTACTACCAACATTCTGCTTCATGCCTCCTGGGCTTGCATGCCACCTCTGGCCATATTTAGGTTCTGTATTTTGATGGATCTGGTTCAAGATCTTGTTTCATAATTATGCGTAAAATGCTCTCTAGCCCCAAACTACCAGTCTTAATAAGATTAAGAACTCTGAAGGGTTACGTGTGGCTGTAAGACCTGGACATTAAAACAATATCTTCTTCTTCTTCGTCTTCTACTTTTTGTAGATCTTTCGATCTGTTTAATTCTGAAGCTGACTCTGGTTAATTTCTTGGGAGGTAGATTGCCAACTATCCCTCCATCTTTTAGGTGGTCTTCCGGGGGGTCTTGAACCGGGCGGATTGTTTTCTAGAGCAATTTTTGGGAGTCTATTCTCATCCATTCGTCTTACATGGTTGTACCACATCCTCTTGCGCTGCCTTCCCCATCTTACAATATCTTGAATTTTGCACTGCTCTCTAATGTTTGTATTTCTCACTCTGTCTCTTCTTGTTTTCCCCATTATTGTTCTTAGGGTTTTCATTTCGGCAACCCTTAGCATCTATTTCGTTTTGTTGGTATCTTCGCGCACTTCTATGCCATATGTCATGATCGGTCGTATGCAAGTCTTATAGATTCTAATTTTACTATCTGTGCGCATATACGGATTTGACCAGACTATCTCCCGCAAACATTCTGACAGTGCAGATGCTTTGTTGATCTGACTCCTCAGGTCCTTTACTGGGTCGTGGGTGCTTGATATATCTATGCCCAGATATCTGAATTGCATCACCTGTTCTATGGGGTTGTCCTAAACCACTAACTTACATCTGAGCGGATCTTTTGCAATTGTCATACATTTAGTTTTGTTGGTAGAGATGTTCATATTTAGTAGTCGGCTTGTTTGAAAGAACTGAAAGAGCTGCCTTTGGAGATAATCTTCTGATTCGGCAATAATTGCTGCATCGTATGCGTAACACACCATACCAATTCTTTTGTTGCCCATTCTATATCCGAGATTAAGAGATGTTACTTTGTTGATAATTTTGCTCATGAGAAGATTAAACAAGAAGGGGCTTAAACTGTCGCCTTGTCTAATTCCTCCCGGTGTTGGAATATTTTCAGTAAATTCGTCTCCTGCTCTAACTTTGGTTACGTTGTTGTTATTTAGGTTATGGAGTATCTTTGTTATACTGGTCGGTGTTTCATTTTCTATTAATATATTTAGAGCGGCGAACTCTGTCAAATGCCTTCGTCAAATCAATGAAGCAAATATACGCTGGCATGCCGAACTCTATAGATTTTTCTTTTATTTGTTTTATTATAAATACTGCGTCTGTTATAGACCGCCCTTTTGTAAAACCTTGTTGTTTTTCAGCATTAGTGATTTGCTTTTCCAATTTGTCCTTGAGAATACCCGTGAAAAGTTTTATTGTTGTAGTTAAGAGGGTTATTCCTCTATAGTTTTGTGGGCAGGTTTTTTGTCCTTTTTTAAATATGGGGATTGTGATACTATTATGCCATTTCTCTGGTGTTTCTGTTTTGTTTAATATTTTGTTAAATAGTTGTGCCAGTTTACTTGCAAGTTCCGGGCCTCCATATGTTAAAAGTTCATTGGGTATACCATCCGTTCCCGGTGATTTTCTGTTTTTTAGCTTTTTGATCTTTACTTCTACTTCTTCGTCATTGATTGTAGCACTCTGTTTCGCCTTCGTTTATATTCAGCGTTTCTTCAGCATCATATAACTCTTTAACATGCTGTTCCCATGTCTCTATAGGTACTCCTGTGGTCTACACGAACTCGTTAACTGGTTTTTTCCTGTTGCGGAGCATTTTCCATACTTTCTTTTGGGCACCATATAGGTCGTAGTCCATATAGTAAAACAATATGACTTCAACAAATCAAATTCATTTGAAATGTGGATGTACCACCGAATGTTAAGAATAAGCTGGACCAGGAGACCTAGGAATGAAGAAGTACTGAGAGTAATGAACACATGTCCTCATCTGGTCAATACTATCAAAATTAGAAAGATGTCATATCTAGGACACATAATGCGCCATAGAGAATTTAAGCAGCTTCAGGTAATATTAGAAGGCAAGAGTGAAGGTAAAAGGGGCATAGGACGAAAGAAATAATCTTGGCTACAAAACATAAGCGATTGGACCCACACAAGAGAAAATGAATGAATTTATCAAGCCGAATGACGAATGAATGAATGAATGACGAATCACAGTCAATAAAGTAAGTAAAATATTGTTTCCAAAGACAACTTAATAATATTCTGTTTTTGGCAAAATTAAAGCGAATGAATTTTGTGCCAAAAACTTCTAGACAGACGTTATTTCTCAGTTAAATTGTGTTCTTAATTAAAACAAAAACAATGAAAAACTCTTACTATGCTGCTATATAGAAGTTAATTCATTATACTAGGCATAAAATAATTTCATTATACCTAATTTTATATATGCTAACTTGACAGATGAAATACTATTAGGGGAATTAAATCTAGAGATACATATAAGAGATATATGATGAATAAAGGCCTTTATTACTTATATAACTTTTTTGTTTTGGTAATTAGTCTTTTAAATTGTAAAAAACCACTTTCTTTTCAGTTACATTGTGCTTTATCTCTGTCAGTTTTGATGCTAAATTTAATTAGTGAGACTGTGGAATTTGTTCTATTGTTTCAATATATTTAGTTGACTTAAACTTCATCTACCACTCGTGAAGGTAAAATTTTTACTGCTATTCAACTGGTTTTAATTAAGAGATTTGGACTATACTTAAAATGTTATTTACATGAGTGAATCCTAACAGTGCCCGTTGCTAAATAGTTCTTTGATGTAGCAGAAGACATTACTAGAAAGCTAAATTTTTATAACAAAAACTACAATGTTCTGAACATCTAATTTATTAGTTTTTGTTACAGGGAATCTATTGTTCCTAAGATAATTAAAATCTTTTGAGTTGTTTGTCAAATTGATTCGAACGAGTACATACCGCTCTGTGAATCAGTGTAAAAATTTGCCGTTCATCACAGTAAATACCAGTTTTTAAAAGTATTTAACCATCAAAAAGTAATTAGTGATTGTTGTGTAGAGTTTTTAACGTCAAAAGCTGTAATATTATTCAGTAGGAAATTGTTTATTAATACTTTTCTAACCAAAACATTCAGCTGTGTTGACACTTTTTTGCCATATTCGACATAAGTCAGTCCTATCAAGGACTGGCTCGTCGAAATTTTAGACAGTCAACCACTAACAGCAACTTTAATACAATAAAATACAAAAATGGTTACTTTTGACTACATGAGTAACGACTTATCAATGTTCTCCTACAGTTAGCAACACCATGTCTGGAAACAACATCATCAGTAATAATCCAAACTCATATGGAACTGCTACTATGTCAAAACCCAAACCGAAATATCCCAAAAAAGATCAAGCAATATTAATACATGCTGATCCAAACTTATTACTAATCGACTACGTCAAAGCCATAGGTAACATTGTTAGCCCCAAAAACATATGCTTCACCTCAAGAATTTTTAATAATCGGATATGCATATACTTAACAAATTCTGAACTCGTCGAACATATTTTAACAGAAAATCCTACGATTACAATCAACTCTGTAGAACTACCCGTAAGAAGAGTGGTAACCCCAGCCCAGAGACTAATAATCTCTAACGTCTGTCCATCAATACCTCATAAAATTGTATAAAAACACCTTCAAGATCTAGGTCTTTAACTTGCTTTACCAGTGTTACATATCAAAGCTGGAATCCCCGGTGATGAATTCACGCATATTATGAACTTCAAAAGACAGGTATAAGCGATTCTACCTCCCAAAAAACATACACATCTATTAACTTACCCATCAAAGACATAAAAATGCCTTCACCCGATGCAAACGTGCTCATAAAGCATAAAACAAAAAACCCAAGAAAGTCGCACCTGATCAGTCTTAATTAACCGACTCCTCTTTTCTCATAATTAATAATCTTTATCAAGAAAATCCAAACTTATTCTCCTTACCAGTTGAAAATATTCTCGCCTTTCTAGAAAACTCATTCGGCAGTAATAACCCTCTACAAGAAGCACAGCAGTTCATTCAAAATGTTCGATCATCAGTCGACGACATTTTTAGAATATACCCTTCACTGGAAGATAGAACAATTAAGAATAGATTTACAAGGATTTCTAAGAAAATTAAACAGAAACTTAAATTCGACAATTCAGAAATTGAAAGCACAACATCGCAATCTACAAATAATGATGAAGATTATCTAACCGACTCTTCTCTGACCTCTCAACGTTCTCAATGTTAAAAATATTTTACTTTCACGTTAGTGCAGTGGAACTGCGATGGGTTCTACCCTCGCTTAAAACGCTTACAACAATTAATCAATAATACAAAAGCACATATTATCTGCCTTCAAGAAACCAATTTCAAGGAAACATAGACGTAAACTTAAAAATTTTGAAGGTTATTATTTCCTTCGGCCTACGTTTACAAGAGCAAGTAGGGGAACATATATCTTCGTGTCCAATGACTTATTTTCTCTACAATATATTCTAACCACCAATTTGGAGGCCATAGCAATAACTGTCTGGTGTCCTAACCAAACAACCATTATGCAGTACATATATTCCACCTAATTATAACTTAACAAAAACCGAGTTAGATGACTTAATTCGCCAACTTCCCAGTCCTTTTATACTAGTTGGAGACTTTATCGCCCATAATACCATGTAGGGCTCAAAGAAAACATTTGGTAGAGGAAAAACCGTAGAGACCGTATTGAGTTGCAATAATACTTGTCTGATGAATAGTGGAGCCAGTACATATTTTAACATCGCCTCAGAAACTTACTCTTCTATTGATCTAAGCATATGTGATCTCAAGTCTGCCGATTCACTCTCATGGTATACTTTAGATAGCTTATACGATAGTAACCACTTTCCGATAGTCATAACAAATAG